ATATGTAATGATTTCCATAACATTTGAAATGAATTACTTTTTATTTGAGTTATGAAGAAAAATACTATTGCGTGAATAATTTATTTTAAACTCGGAGAACATTTTGTTTACAACCTGAAATAATTTAAAATTTTATCATGCCTGGAGCGAGCGTTGCTGTGTTTCTGTTTGTAAACACAATGTTTACAAACAAAATTCATCAGAGGAAAGGGGCTGAACATAAACTCAATTGAAAGATTTTATATTATTCTGCAATTATCATTCACAATTATTAAATTAATTGCAGCTTTGTCCACCCAACATTTAATAGCAGATGAGATGGTTTCTCACAAGCATTAAACACAACGAAGAGCAATTTTGTAAAGTTAGCACCTTTTACTCAAATATCTGATGGTAAATGCTTTAGAAATTCCTTCTGAACTCTCTTTAAAATGGATTTGTAATCCATTTTTACTAAAAACTTCCTGTAGCAAAACCTTTCTTCAATAATGTATGTTCTTTTACTAAAGCCCTCTCTCTTCTTGCTCTTGGTTGTGTTTAATGCTTGTAAGAAACCATCTCATCTGATTTTAAGTGTACGGCGGACAAATCTACAATTAATTTAATAATTGTAAGTGATAATTGCAGAATAATATTCTAAAATCTTACCATTAGCATTTAAGTTCAGTCCCTTTCCTCTGATGATTTTTCAGGGTATAAACAAAATGTGATCCGAGTTCGGCTCAGAGGCCATACCCTAACACAAAATATTTAAAATAAACCATTCACACAATAACATTTCTCTTTATAATTCAAATAAAAAGTAATTCATTTGATATTTTATTGAAATCATTGTATGATTTTTCCTTGCTATTTTGTTGTAACATCAAACTACCTTTATTATAAAAACTCTAACATTACAAAATAGTCAAAAAATAAAAATATAAAAACTACTAAATAACAATAAAATATATTTTTTAAAAACTAATATATAAACCTAAGGAATATCTTCTGTTAACTCGCTTTTTTATTCGGTCCTTAGCAACGGAGATGAGGCCACCGTAGTGTCTACGAACCGTGTGTCTACTCAATATTTTCGTTTGTTTATACCATATTATTATGTTCGTTTGTTCACCTAGCTGAAATTAATTACTAACATAAACAACAACAAAAAACATTTTTTGCTCTCAATTCTTTTCATTGCATTTTCTTTAAACCTATTGAAATCGTTTGTATTTGCATTATTTTCGTTTGTCCATACTTTATTTTCGTTTGTCCTTCCAACACAAATTAGTAACAAATAAACAACCTAAAAATAAACATTTATATTTATCGTAATCACTTCTCAGTTCTTTTTATTTTTCAAAATTAAGTATGGAATTGTTTTTCCACCCATTATGTTCGTTTGTCCATCCAGCAGAAATTAGATACTAACAAATAAACATTGATCAAGCACTTGTAATTGCATAATCAGAAGCTCTTAGGGTTATAATTATTTATTTTTGATTTGTTTATTTGTAGACAAAAGATTCCAGTACTTAATTTTGGAAAAAATTCAATTAGGGTAATAATTTTGATTTTGTACCTCAGGAACTAAAACATGCATTTAACTCAATCATTTTAGGGACTGAAGTGCCACTTTTACTCCCTTGGCACTAAAATATTTTAGTCCTTAGGGATTAAAAAAATTTAGTCCCGTAAATAACAAACACAACAGAAGCCATAGCAAACTACTTTATTCGGGAGGTAATATAACAAGACCTCTTTTAAAAGCGAATAAATTTATCGATTTTCCCGAAAATAGTTTTGTTTGAAACTTTGCATATATTTTTATTTATTAATAGTACAATTATTAAAAACACAATTGATTACTATAAAACGTCAAAATAATAAAAGAAAATTTAACTGACATCATTACGGTGGGTCAATGCGTAGGGTACTTGCCTTTCATTCTTATGACTCGAGTTCGATTCCCTGTAAGGACATTTTAATTTCTATTTTTTTTTAATACATTTTAATTTTTTTCTTTTTTTTTTTTTAAATGTGGATAAATATAGTTTATTTTGTATGTGATGTAAAGGTTTTCACTTCTGTCGTGCGGTCTTAAGCATACACTTTTTTATTATTACACGTTTACGTAAGTCCCATACTTTATTTTCATCCCCTCAAAATTTTACGCTACTGTTCAAAAACTTATTTGGACTATACTTTTGCATTTTTTGATAAAAACCCAAAATTACATAATAGAAAACAAAATGATGAATATCCACATTTGAGTGTGAATAATAATAATAATAATAATAATAATAATAATAATAATAATAATAATGTTTATTCATAAATAATGCAATTAAATTAAATACAATATAATATTTGTTATGAATAAAGAAAAAAATATGCTAAGTGTTAAACACTTGTGCACAGTAAAACAATAGGTATACCTACATTTAAAATGAACTCTTAACTCGTGGCAACGCTATTTGTACAATTGAGGTGACAGATATTTAAAAGCACAGCTTTTTAAAATATCTGCAACCCACAATGCCAAATTTATTATTTAAAAATAGTTTTTATATTTTCAAAAATTAACTTAAACAATCTTTCCTTACATTGCTATGTACACATTTTACAAGTTTTACAAATTTTGAGGTTAAAAAGAAGAAACAAAGTAACAACTAAAAGAAGTTATCCAGATGATAACTCTATTAAGGTAAGCTTTATTTATTATTTGTGTATGTATTTAGTTATTCAGTTTAGACCTGAATATCTCGAAAACTAATCACTTTATGAGTTCCCAACAAGAGAACATATGATTTATTTAAAAAGCATCAAAAAATGTAAAAATATGTCGAAATAAGTTGCGTAAAACTTAGAGGGAATGAAAGTGTTACTTATCCGTGTTTTACACCACTGGATAGCTATTCACTAAGTCATGGGAGCGCTCCCATGGGAGTGTTCCCATATATTTTGCTCTTACTCTTAGGTGGGTATATCGTGCTTACTCACTTTTAGCCCAGGTGCATGCATAGTTAGGTCGGAGTAAGCACGATATGCCCACCTAAGAGTAAGAGAACAAAATATATGGGAACACTCCCATGGGATCGCTCCCATGACTTAGTGAATAGCTATCCTGGTAGTTTATTTAGCTGATTTTTTGCTGATAGGTGTATCTTATGACACCAACAAGGTTTACCGGATTTAGTAAAATTATACTGAAATAAAAAATATAACCATTAATATTTTATCCGAGCATGTTTCGTTTAATCGTCTTATTTTTACTCATCAGAGAATATTCAGTTGTTCTGTGTCCCTGTATAAATTCTATTACTTTTCAAATTTTGGTTCGTGCTGTGTTTTAATACATTTTTGAAGAGCTTTAGTTCTAAAACTTAAGTGTTTTTTATAGTTCACCGGTTCACAACTTAGTAGAAATTTATTTTTAGTTTACTTTAAAGAAAACTATTTTTCTGTAGTTTAATATTTACTGTCGCAATGAAATTTTTAATAATATGTTATTGAAACATGGATCAATTTTATAATAGGTATGTTATTGTCATTTTTCCAGGGGTCCATAATTTTTAAAACATTACCAACAAACTTCACATTAGTATATTAGTAGGCAAGTATACAGGGTGTCCCGAAATTATACGGTCATATTTTAAAAGCGTAATCTACATTCTAAAATAGAAGTAAGAGTTCATATAATACATAGGTCCGAAAACGTTTCGTTTTCGAGATACAGGGTGTTACAAATGTTCTGATGACAAATTTTTGTAAATATTTTCTAAAATTTCTTTAGTCACCGGTTTTCTAAAGTTAAAAAAAAATAAAATTTCTGATTCCACAGTCCTACTAATTATTATTTACACTTTCGAATAAGATAACATCAACTTATCATGAAATTTTCAAATGCTTTTCTCTTGAAACTGGTGCGTCCTAGCGAGATACAACAAAAGTAGCTTTATTATAAAGAAAATATTGGTTTTTCAAATTTTGTAGTCAAAAATATTAATAACAGTCAACAAAAAAACTTCGGCTAATTAACCCTAAGTCCCTCTCCTAATTTATCCACCTATGAAGATGATCAAACACTGGCATTTAGTCCATTAAATACAGCGTAAAAAGTTTAGCATTTGAACCAAATTTCACTTAGTTATCTTTAAAAGTTTAGAAATGTGTCATCAGGACTTCACTTTTAGCACCCTGTATCTCGGAAACAAAACGTTTTCGGACCTATGTTTATACAAACTTTTACTCCTATTTAGAATGTAGATTACGCTGTTAAAACATGACGGTCTAATTTCGGGACACCCTGTATAACGAGATTTCAATAATACCCGTATCCCACGTGATCTGGTAAAATAAGATATTTTATTAAAAAGGCCGTTTTTAGTGACGTTTATGACATCTTAAGTATCGGTTCTATCAAATAGGTCAGTGACATTGTGTTAAGGTTACTACTGAAGTTATTAATGTTACTTTACGGATATTATTGAAGACTCTGTATAAAGGATGACAATTTAAAAATTTTTAACGGCTATATCTCGTGAACTAAATGGTATCAGAAAATGCTAAAATGATTTCTAGGGTACGAAGAAAGAACTTAAATGACAAAATACAGAACTCCCCCTATCAACCCCCTCAACCAGAAAAAATAAATAGCAACCCCCTATTTGCCATACATTATTGGAAAGCTAGTAAAAAATACTTTTCAACGATATAAGTTATACCCAATATAGGGTAGTTCAATAGTACATAATAATTAAAAACCTATTTAAAAAAGATGGCATGTTTTTCTCTGAATAAAATAAATTGTTTTTATTAGGTTTTACTTTTCTGATATCATCTTTAATTCAAGAGACATAGCCATTGTAAGTTTTTAAATTATCACCGATAATAAATGAGAAAATTGTACTAATTTAATGTATTAATTTATTAAAAAAAAAAAAAACTTTAAGTACGAAACAAAGAAAAGTAGAAATCGGTATGTACCTTTGAAGCATGTACACCCCATGATGTAGCCCATCATGGATCCAACTAGACGGGCCTATCCCGTCTCTTTCTAAAACGGGGCCCGTCTTCTTTGATGCGCCCCCATCGAAGGGCGCCCAGTACGCCCCTGAAGGGCCCCTGGCTAACATTCACTACAACAACATAACACAGTCAGTCGATATTTCGACATTTTCTTGCGCCGATTTTAAAGAATTTGTTGACAAAAAAAATCCTGCGACGACCGATGAAGTAGCTTCCGTTCCTGCAACCCACAGGTGCAGCAGGACTATTCAGCAAGAGTTGACAACAAGGAATCGACCGGTTTTGTGTTCAATGTGTACGGCGGAAGCGGCGCTATCGGCGGCTGCAGAAAATCTCCGCGAACGCAGTAACGCAGCAGGAACGAGACTACCGCGGCAGGAGTTACGACGGTCGCGGAGTGATAGTGTCGGTTGGCGACCTCTGGCGATGAGAAGAGAAAATTTTGAGAATTTGAGGCGCGAAATATAATATGACTGATTATTTTGAGCTGTACTAGAATATTAATTACAAAACGGGAGTTCGATGATTTGTCTACATGACAATATAATATTTTCCAGGCTCGTACGTAAAGATATAAAAATGTGTTTAAGATGTTATTGAAAACTGCCTAGAAATGTTGAGGGTAAAATTTGACGTACTCCTTTAAGGATAAGGGGGCGTCCATTAATTATATGAAGTGTTCAAGGGGGGAGGGAATCAAGCTAAAGCTTTCCAAATCTCACTTGGGGGAGACGGGGGAGGTGTTTGTAAATTTGACGTAATTTTTTTCTAGTAGAAAACGGTGTAAAATTGCGTAAAAGTAAAGTTAAATTAAAGTAAAAATGTTTCTAGAAATTTTATATTACGGCAATATTCTCAAATACTAGTCTTTGCTAGTCTTAAATAAAAGTAGTAGAACATATTTTTGTGATTCTTTAATAATCCAACGCATTTACACCCAAAACACAAATTTTTAAAAATCTTACGAAATCTCATCAGGGGGAGGGGGGTCATAAAATCCTCAAAAATACCTCACGTAATTCGTTTTAAAGTCTTAGAAACATATTTTTTTCTAATTACGATTTAAGTAAAGATGTAAAAAAATTGAGAGATTATAGACTGATAATGATTGGTATCAAGCTGATACATCCATTGAGAATATTTATTTTTTTAACCTGTGCAAAATAACTTTTTAATAATTTCCAGAACCTACATTTTCAACACTGTATTGAATCTAAACGTTAAAAGAGAAATGTGTGCCAATAATAAATATTGGTCTACGAATTGAGGGGTACATTAAGTTTGAGGAAAATCTCACGGAACATCATTGTTCTTCCAAAGATTAGTGTGAAATTTTTTAATTGCCTAAATCCATTCTATTCACCAACATTTTGAAGGATAGTACCAAAACCCTACCACTTGGCAATCAAACTATTGGGGACACATTCAACTATCCTAAACAAACATTCAAAATGTAATGAGAAAATCAACCCTTGTTCGGCTCAATATTCAATGTATTAAAATTTTGCAATATAACTAGTATAGAGAGGTAGCCACATAAAACACTTATACGACAAATAAACTGTGAAAACCGAGATTGCTGAGGTAGCGAAAACCCTGATCCCAAAAGGCATAATAAATATACTATTCCCACAAGCAAAGGCGCTATGATGATTGATTCTCTAAGGAGGATTGAGTATTTAATCCTTTCAGGGAATTTCACTTTAGTTTCATAGAGCTAATTTATTGTGCTAAAATCGAAATTCAACCAAAAAAGGGTGCTTTGACCCTGTTAGACGTGCTTTATACTCTTGTAGGCAACTAAAAATAACAATTTTGGAATATATAGTCAACGGCGAACGTATATAATGGAAACCATAAGTATTTTAATTCTGAATGGTACAGGGTTATTCATTGTAATTTACCCATCCTTAGTATTACATATTATGAATATACAAAAAAATGTTTTAAATATAAGTTGTTATAACTGAATATTGTTGAAATTCCATTAAAAACACAGTGGAGTACATATTTATTGGGGTATCATGTATATTTTAAAAGTTTGGAATAATCTTTTTTTCCTGATTTTAAAAATATTCAATTTTTAGGTATATTATTCAGTTTTCGTTAAAAAAGTATTAATTACGTTAGTGCTCCTTGAAATAAGACCGAAAAATGTAAAAAATTCCTAAAGAGAAAGTAATTTCCAAAATTATATTAAGTATAGAGTTTTTATGAATGATATGCGTTTCTTTTGGATACAGGATCTACTGTAATACCTACTAACACATTTTCGTTTAAAATGTACAAGAGATTTTTAACTAATTTTAACTTATCTGCTGCTTCTCTAAATCAACTTTAGTAAGCATTGTACTTAACGTTAGGCAATTGATCGATATTTTATTTTCTGTCACGTGACTCTTCTTTCGACCAATCGAACTGAATTTTGTTATTAATAAATAATGTAACACTGTTGTATTATCGCTGTGGTACATGGATTACCATGACTGCGAAATAAACTTAATTTCTTTGAAATTCCAACTCAAGAAAATCCCAACCTTTGGAAAATACAACTCATGCTTTGCACTAGCTGCATTTTTGTCGTTGGAACTGAGATTCATGACATTTAAAAAAAATTGTAGATAATAATCGTACCACTTATTATAAAACCCTATTATATTACCACTTATTATAATACCCTTAACAATAAATTAGAGTATACTATTTTTTAGTGGTAGGAAAAATAGAGTGCATAACTTGTTGAAAAAAGTGTATTTTCTCCATATCTCTTGACTCCAATTATGTAATATACCATTATCGGATTCTCCTGATCACTTTCCGACCAAGTCACGTAAAATTTGATTTTTAATAATAGTTGGTGTTTGTTTTGCAGCATTTGACAAAATAATGGGAAGAAAGAAAATTCAGGAATAAATTCTTGAACTTCAAGGAATGAAAACGAACCAAAGAAAAATTGATAATTACCGGTAGGAAAAGAATCCCACTACCTTAGTAAGAGCTTTGCCCTTTGCTATACCGTACCAATGTCGCAACCGTTAAACCATAACAGTGTATGCATTCCTGCGAGCTAGTTATTAATTTGAGGTGAAATTCAAACTCGACTTTTCAGAACTTCATTTTCAATAATTTCGATTTTAACAGGCAATTTTTACCTACTTTCTAAAAAATAAGACAGTAAACGTCAATATTAAATTATGCCAGTATTGATTTATTGTTATTTTCTTTACTTAAAAATATGATTATGTAGATATCCCAGGGTACTTTGTAACAAGTAATAAATTGGATACTTTACAAATAACAAGGACTATTCTGAATACCTTTACTTATCAACTTTTTTAAATTCCTTAAATTTTTGCATTCTCGCTATTTGAATATAAGTACATTTCCACAGAGCACAAACATATAACAAATTTTTAATGTAACTTTTATGCAAGAATGAAATGTTTCCTGTACAAAATTATTTTTTAACAATTATTTTTTTGTACGTCTATAAAGTAATCTTTACAACAATAAGGGCAGATCTTTTCACCTCTGAGTAAAGTTACATGTAGGATTACTTGACAGATTAACAAACAATAGCCCTATAGTATAATCAGCAAGTAGTTAATTGCAACTTTACTCAGAGGTGAAAAAACTGGCCCTAAGTGATATAAATAATAAGTCTTAAGAATAGTTAGTGTAAACACTAAACATGGTGTGAAGAATCTGACTATATCAGACTGTAAAATCAAAATTTATTAAAATCAAGCAACTCTTTTCGGCTGTACAAAGCCATCATCACAGCCTTCCTGAAATTTACAATACATATAATAGAAAAATAAAATACATCCGATATATACCACAAAAACATTGAATAAAATACATATTTATTAAACTGAAACGATTTACGGATAATTTATCATTCTTGTTTTGACTAGCATTGTTAACGTGGATTTTTTTTGCTGTTGGATATAATTTCCAATAATATTACGTTTTAAAGTAACCTATTTAGGTAATCCATTATTCCCTCCCTTTCAAATGAAAAAATACTCCCAAACAAGGGTTAGAGAATTAATTGAAATTGTTTTATTGATAATTTCGTCAACAATGTGTCGTGGTAAGAAAGACAAATGGCAATGTAAAGAGAATGTGATTGTTTTGGAGTAGTGAGAACAGAATCAGAACTAAATTATTAAAAATAAATAAATGTAAGTAAATATTGAGTGTTAAGGGTTATGCTTTGGGATATGAGATTATTACCCATAAATAATAACAAAGATTCCAAAACATAGTTGACAAATTTAAATTTAAGACATGAGTGGAAATGGCTATGGCTCTAGAACCATTCTAGGCCAGAGGCTTGAACAGAGACATACATGTATCATAAGAAGGGTAAATTAAAAAAGAAAAAATAGAACAAATTTTTTTCGAAAACAATAATACCAAACTATACTTTCTATTGTTGATTAAGAAATCATGTAGGCCATGAAATGTCAAAAATTAAACAATTATTTACAAGCGAGATTTTCATTTTTTAAAATAATAGTATATTAAAGTATAAGTGGATATAACGGTCTTTAAAACACGCGCGATTTTTCGAGCACGACGGCGCAGTGTTTTAAAGTGTTTTAAAGTGTTTTAAAGACCAGTAATCCACGAATACTTTACGCTATTTTTTTTTATTGGTATACTTTGAAATCCTAAATATTGGTATTATTTCTACAAAAAAATGGAAATAAGAACTAATAACTGAAAATGGTTGAATTTGTGATGTAACATCAGTATACCTCGTTGTCATGAAAATGAGACAAACAAAAATTTATTTTCAATCTGTCACGTATTAAGATTAATTGTCGCAACAGTTGTTATTGTTTAAAATGAGTTCAAATATTGAGTATTTAAATAATAAAGCAGAATCGCGCTTAATACCACAAAAATCCGAAGCGGTTTATAAAAAAGAATACGATAAATTCAACACGTGGATGGAAGAGCAAATGGTTACACATATAGATGAACGAGTTGTTCTCGCTTATCTCCAGAAAATGTCGGAACAGTATAAAGTATCGACTATGTGGACTATCCATTCAAAATTACAAAGTATGTTGAGGATAAACAAAGGGGTCGATATAAAATCGTTCGTCAAAGCAATTAGCAAAAATGAGGTAGTCAAGAAGGCATATGTATTCGAGGAAGACGATTTGCGGAAGTTTTTTACAGATGCACCGGACATTACGTATTTATTTTTGAAGGTATTGAATACATTTTTTGAAAAATTTCTCAGAAATATTTTATTTGACATTACAAGGCACTCCTGTCAGATCAATATTTAAAAATCTAAACAGACTTCCAGACTTCACTTTCTTTCCTTTTCACGTTTATGCAGCGTACCGTACTCGAAAACTTAAAACTGTTGAATGAACGATTTTAATTTTTAGTTTTAATGTAATTATAAGATTACTGTCTTTCTACACGATGTCAAAAAGGGTGGC